CACGTGTGTACAGTTCTGGATATTAAAGGAAACGTATCGCCACGAGTGGCTTCTTCATTTCTAAATAAATATTCAGAATGACACACGAGTGTTTTTTTTTTTCCAGAGTTTGTCAGTATCACCATGCCACTTACAACCAGGCACGAGCACATATACCAGCAGCTGCACCTGGAGGCTGGCAGGATAAGATCGTTTCCTGGCCCCAGCATCTTAGTAACCAGATAAATAACGTTACATGAAGAATGAGGATGTGTTTCTCAGGAGTCAAGGCTGGTTGTCTGGCCCTCACAACTTCACATTAATATTCCGCTGTCTCGTAACCTACACGGTGTAAACATTGTGACTTTACCTCACTTAAAGAGGAGGTGCATTGCCACCTGCTTGCTACCTGTTGCTGTTCCTGCTACCTGTTGACTACTTGTTGGTGCTGCTGCCTACTGACTACTTGTTGCTTTTGCTTCTACATGTTGACTGCCTGTTGCTGGTGCTGCTACCTGTTAACTACCTGTTGCTGGTGCTACTGCTTGACTATCTGTTGCTGTTGCTACCGACTGACTAGGTCACTGGTATTGCTGCTACCTGCTGACTAACCCACTTGTATTACTGCTGCTCTTACCTGTTAACTAGCTCATTCGTGCTGTTGTTGCTGCTGCTGTTGTTGTTGTTGTTGCTGATACTGCTACCTGTTGCCTAGCCCGTTGAAACTGGTCCTCGCTGCACACAGTTCAACGTAGTCACCACAGCCTGGCCACCAAGGAAGTGCTTGGCAGAACTTTTCAAGACTCATCTTAGAGACAGTCAAATCTTGGGAAATTCCCCTTATCTTCGAAAGGTGTTGAAAGCCTTATAATCTTAAGAGTTCCTCAATAAAGGTGGCGGCCACAACACCGGGGAACTGATCTGAACCTTCTAAGACCCCTGAAGACGCTGACGACGACGATGCTACGTTTGATACGAAGAAAATGACGAATCTGCCACATTCCAAACTAGTATCGCTAAGAATTACCAGATTAACCAAGTTATGGTGACGTGTGAGGTATGAGGGACACTTGCAACAACAGCCTAGTTAACCAAGCAGTCAATAATGAAATCTGGCCTCAGGCCTCCAGAGTACAAGAACACTGAACGCTAGTCACAGGTTTAACATTGGAGCATCGATGTGAGAAACTAAATTTCACCCGTATAAGTGCGTGGACCGTTGTTCTAAAAGAGTGAAAGTTTGTGGTCCTCTGTACAAATTGTTGGTCATTCTATTCTAAAAGTGTTGCTTGTGTTCTGTAAAAATTGCAGGTCGTGTTTATTTAAAATACTGTATCATAGTTAGTTTTAAATAAGAGTTGAACACCTGGAGGGTGTTCACCACCCAGTTCGTCTGACTGAATATATTCACCATGTAAAACGAAAGTTGAAAGATGACTCGATACCAGTACTGAATGTTATCATAGGGCATGACAAATTCAAATTAAATCCACCGGCTTACACCTCACAACAATTTGATGAAATGTGAACTGGCAACACTATTTATACCAAAAGTGGATTGTAAGCTACTCAACCACTCAAACACCGCCACCATGGTAAGGTGACCCTAGTCTGGGGAAGGGGCACAATCTCACACAACATAATATAACTAGGTATAGGGGCATCAAACTCACCACAACAGTAATTAAAGTTATAGGGGCACAAACCCCCACAACAGTAATAAACTAGTATAGGGCAAACCTCACCTACAACAGTAATATAACTAGGTATAGGGGCACAAACCCCACCACAACAGTAATATAACTAGGTATAGGGGTCCATAAATAACAAAAAGGCACAATACCGTGACTGGAACGATACATGAATAACCGCACATAAAAAACAGAAGCTTACACGACGTTTCGGTCGAAATTGGACCATTGACAAGTCAATGACTTTCAATGGTCCAAGTCGGACCGAAACGTCGTCGTAAGCTTCTGTCTTTTATGTGCGGGTTATTTGTGTATAGGTATAGGGGCACAAACCCCACCACAACAGTAATGTAACTAGGTATAGGGGCACAAACCTCACCACAACAGTAATTAACCTAGGTATGGGGGCACAAACCCACCAAACAGTAATAAACTAAGTATAGGGGCACAAACCCCACCACAACAGTAATATAACTAGGTATAGGGGCACAAACCTCACCACAACAGTAATATAACTAGGTATAGGGGCACAACAGTAATATAACTAGGTATAGGGGCACAAACCCCACCACAACAGTAATATAACTAGGTATAGGGGCACAAACCCCACCACAACAGTAATATAACTAGGTATAGGGGCACAAACCCCACATCAACAGTAATATAACTAGGTATAGGGGCACAAACCCCACCACAACAGTAATATAACTAGGTATAGGGGCACAAACCCCACCACAACAGTAATATAATTAGGCATAGGGGCACAAACCCAACCACAACAGTAATATAACTAGGTATAGGGGCACAAACCCCTCCACAACAGTAATATAACTAGGTATAGGGGCACAAACCCCACCACAACAGTAATATAACTAGGTATAGGGGCACAAACCCCACCACAACAGTAATATAAGTAGGTATAGGGGCACAAACCCCACCACAACAGCAATATAACTAGGTATAGGGGCACAAACCCCACCACAACAGCAATATAACTAGGTATAGGGGCACAAACCCCACCACAACAGCAATATAACTAGGTATAGGGGCACACACCTCACCACAACAATAATATAACTAGGTATAGGGGCACAAACCTCACCACAACAGTAATATAACTAGGTATGGGGGCATAAACCTCACCACAACAGTAATATAACTAGGTATAGGGGCACAAATCTCACCACAACAGTAATGTAACTCGGTGTATGGGACACAAACCCCACCACAACAGTAATATAACTAGGTATAGGGGCACAAACCTCACCACAACAGTAATATAACTAGGAATAGGGGCACAAATCTCACTACAACAGTAATATAATTAGGTATGGGAGTACAAACCCCACCACAACAGTAAGATAATTAGGTATAGGGGCACAAACCTCACCACAACAGTAATATAACTACGCATAGAGGCACAAACCCCACCACAACAGTAATGTAACTCTGTGTAGGGGACACAAACCCCACCACAACAGTTGTATAACTAGGCAAAGGGGCACAAACCCCACCACAACACTAATATAACTCAGTGTATGGGGCACAAATTCACCACAACAATAATACGACTCACTGTAGGAGGCACAAACCCACCACAACAGTAATATAACTCAGTGTAGGGAGCAAAAACCCCACCAAGACAGTAATATGACTCAGTGAAGGGGACACAAACCCCACAACAACAATAATATAACTCAGTGTAGTGGGCACAAACCCCAACACAACAGTAATTTAACTCAGTGTTGGAGGCACAAACCCCACAACAGTAATATAACAGTGTAGGGGACACAAACCCCACCACAACAGTAATATAACTCAGTGTAGGGGACAAAAAACCTCACAACAGTAATATAATTCAGTGTAGGAGGCACAACTCCCACCAA